TGATGATGATGATGATGATGAGAGGGGAGGAGATCAATGTCAGATATGTGCGATATTGGCGCTATCTTTCGAGAGATATGAAACGGAATATATTTATTTTATATGATTTTTATTTTACCTAATTTTAAATATTTTAAATAATTTTTAAATATAAAGTACCTAGCGTTTGTAAAATGCGTGTCTTTATTGTAATTGAAAATATTACACGCCTTTCTGATTTGTAATATAATACTTAAAGATATAATCAGTATTACATGATGAATGATTGTTAGCGATGAAATGATAAATTTTAGATGAATGCAAAAATACATTGTTTTATGATTGTAAAATTCTTGTGAAAATAAAGATTTATGAATATGTTCACTAAAATATTAGTTTTCTTTTCGTTAATTTATTAAATTACCTCTGTTCGTTTTCTCTACGACAATATACATATAATTATATATTGTGTATATATATATAACGAGTAACACTATATTAAATAAAAATTATATTAAGCACGTATTTCTCATGTAGTTTTTATTTAATTATAGATTGAAAAATATTTAATTATCAAGATAATTAAATTGTGAGATTTACTGTGCGGAATTATATATAATGGAGGAAATACGAACTGGAACAATGCATAATACAAAATCTAGTTCTATAGTCTCATGTGTCGATAGAACTGATATTGATGAATTGTCAAAAGAAAAAGAAGAAGAATTATTATTTGGTGCGGAAGAAGAGGGTGATGACGAAGATGCACTTTCAGATGATAGTTTACGTTTAAGATTATCTGACGATGATGATGTTGAACAAGAAGATATTACAACAAATGACGTAAATGTTTTGGAAACAAAATCACAAATTAAAAAAGTTGGTATGTAACTTGTTTTTATCTATGAGAACTAAACTAATACAGATTATTCATTTTCCAAATAATTATGAATAATACTTTGGGGATATATTTCTTTTTCTCATGTGTTTAATAGAATACTATTTAAAAAAATAACCGTGCAAAATATTTGTAAAATGTTAAATCTAGAAATATAAAATATAAATAAATAAAGGAAAGAAAAGGAAGAAAGAGAGTAGCTAAGAAAATAATAAAATAAAATATTTTATTTATTGAGATATTCATTTTCGTGAATCTATATAAGTAATAGTATTTTGATTGCAGAACAGTCATCTGATGTAATTGCAGAGGAAATATTGTGTTCTGATTCGCAACGGACTGCGGAAGAGTCTATCAAACTTGACAGTGAAGAACCAGTGCAGAAGGAGCATAATATAGGTAATATTTTTATGGATGATAATTATTACTCTATTATAAAATTATTACTAAATGTCATTTCGCCACATCAGAAATATTGATATAAATTTCCAAACCAAATTCTATACAATTTTCCTACGATGTTTCTCATTTTCAAAATACTGAAAATAAAAAACATCATTTCGTCAAAATTTGTTCCAGCAATTTCAGAAAATTCAGCATTACCCTTAGATGAATATATATCAGAAAGTGAACAAATACAAGATAATATAGATAATTTGGAAAATACCAATACGAATATTAATGAATTCAATGAAAAATTTACTTTTAAATCTAGTAAAAATTCAAAGATTATCGAAATAAGCGACGAGTGTTCAAGTATAATATTTGAACAACATGTAGAATTAAAAAATGATACTTTACTTACAAACAATCATGTACAGACAAACAATCCTCGAAATGCGAAGTTAATCATTCATACTGAAGAAAATTCAAAAAAGGCAACCATCGATACAAAAGAAATAATTTCAACAAATACTTGTGAGCTAAACAACTTAGAAAATGCAGGCGATAATAGCGTGTGTATAGATTCTGATAATATTACAATATGTAAGAGTGAAAAATTATCTACAACTGCAACTGTTTCTGATAGTAATGATGATAGTTTAGGAAATGAAACAGATAAAAAAATTAATCGCTCTTTAAAAAATTGCTCACCTGTCGAACTTATCAATGACTTAGATTATGTGGATTTAGTCAAATCCGGTAATTCCAATGACTTATTATTTTATAAAGATACTATTAAACATGATAATAAAAACAAGAATATAGAGCCTATGAATGTAATAGAAAACAAAAATGTATCACAAATATCGAAATTCACAGAAAAAAAGACGAATCTCTCAGTAGAAAATCAAATTAATTTCCCAAATGTAAAAGACAACATAAAAATAACGAGCAAGAATCGTGATGCTGATAAAGTTATAATCGAAAATGTAAATAATATGCCAATATTGCAAAACATTTTATTAATATCTAGTGATGTGGATTCCAATAACGAAAATGGAATTAAAAACGTTGATACAGTCATTCCAAGAAGAAAACGATATAAAAAAACGATTGATACAGTACAAAATTGTGCTGAAGAAGATAAACAAGGTAGGAAATACTTTACATCAAAAGCAAAACATGACATCATCAGTTTCTAATAAAGGACTAAATGGGAAAAAAAATGAAAAGAATATATTAGATAGAAAAATCTGAAAGTTGACTTAATAATTATATTGTTTTTATGATGATGTTATTTATATTTATTAAAAAATTATTTTATGATTCCTATACGAATTTATACATATGGATGATTTTCATATGCAATTTTTATTTGATGCAAAAACTTTCGAGAATAATATTATACAAAATATTTTTATACTTATATGTATTTGTAATAATGTAATAATATAAAAAGATATATGGAGATATGGAGATATGGAGATATAAAACATATTAGGGATGATTGTTTTAAAATTATTTTTATCGTTATCAGTTCTATCGATATCATTTCTGTTACGATATCAATTATAAAAATATAAAAATAAATTATTTCTTTTTACAGTCTATTTAATATTTTATATTTAATATCATATATAAACAATTAATATAATTTATTTATAATTTTTACCCTAGATATTTTAATATTTATATCACATTATTTTTACATTTTATTATTACAGAGAAAAAGGAAAGTGGACGACAAAAGCGAAAAACTGCTAAAAATGCAGAAGAGCTAATCAGAAAAAGGTATCTTAATAGTGGCAGTGATTCTAGTGATAGTGCGGAACGAATTGTAACAGGAATAAAAAAAGTGAAGCAGGGTATATCCACATTATCACCTTCATTAAAACGTAATTGTATGGAAAAGGAGGTTTTAAACGGTAATATTAAGAAAACGAAGATGAATATTAATTCTGAAGAAAATAATGATATTACGCAATTATCCTTCGTTGAAAAATTTTTTCGGAGGGATAGTAAAGGGGAACTACCAAAGCTTACACAGGAGGTAAAGAAATATTCATGTTAAATAAAATAATATTCTGTAGCTTGTTATTTACGACAAATTTGAATTAATTAAGAAAATTAAACGATTAATTATATATATAATTCATTACTACATACACTAAATATTACTATTATAATATGCTTAAGGAATTGGAAGAACTTCTGATTCAGAAGATTGTTGAAACGATTGCAATGCGTAGTGAAATCGGGCAACTTAGAGAACAAGCTCGCATATCGGAGAGATATCAAGAAGTAACGCGTGTAAAATTACAACAATTAATGAAGCAAGTTAAGGATTTCGAAATGGTTCTGAATCGTAATGCAATAGACCGTCGTGCGAATCCTGATAAAACTATTGCGCCCATAAAAATAAACAGATCTGTAGGCTTGCAAGTCAACTTCATAACGGTATTTGTTTATATTGCGAGATATATTTCAATACACTTTTGTGAATTTATTTAAAATTTATTTAAAATTTATTTAAAATTATGCTAACGGTAATTAAACAGGAACACGGAATACAGAATTTACGACAGGTACAGCAAACCATGCTTAAACCTGCAGCAAACCCTTCAAGCAGCGGTAGTTCTTCATCTGTTGAAGCAAATAATAACGTAGCAAACTCAAAGCGCAGTGGAATTAAGACAAGATCGCCCCGATCTATAGCAACTACGACGACTGCTCCTACAGTCACGCAGAACTCTGTACCAATGCCGCCTCTTATTCCCACTGTGACACCCGCAGCTTTGGTTGTTGCTAAACCTTTAGAATCGCCACATACACTAACGTTGTCTAATCAGCCTGCCAGCATAATTAATAAGCCAATCTTACCTGCTGTAAGTAATGTGTGGAATTATTTCAATTAATATTTTACAACTAAAGTAAGAAAATTTATTTAGTCTTTCATTAAATTAATTTTAATTTTACAATATTTCGTAGCAACAACAGATTCAAACACAACCGCATCAGGCTATTGTTCTAAATGGTAAAATACAAAATCAAGTAAATCGTCCGACACCGATAGCTCCAAAACCAAGAAGTAATGATCTTATCGACCTTACGGACGAGGAAGAAAAAAATAAATGTAGGTTTATTTATTTTTCTATGATATGCATAATGTATATGTATATGGAAGAAGCCTTAAAGCTGTAATTATTATGATACGTGGTAATAAATATAAAATTTATAATTATTATATTTTCCGTATTGTATCTGACCCGTGCCGAATTCTGTATTATGACAGCAAATGTGAAAGTTACGACTACAACTACTGCTATGATCGAGCAACAATTGAATGCGACGAAATCTGGGCAATTCCAAAGGGTAATACAAACAATACCGACGAATGTAGCAATTACAACGCAACCGACTAGTATAAAAGTGATAACATCTAATCAACAATCAACACCGACCCTTGTTGTACGTAACTTTTTATACATACGTAATATTTAAGTAATAATATTGAGAAAAAGACAAAAGAGATATATACGTATTTTTTTTAGAGTAATATGAATCCGCCCAGATTGGCGTATTTGATGCCAAGTACTACAGGTTCACCAAGACAAGTACTAATAGCATCAAACACTAATCAGCAAGTGCAGGTTGATAATCTGAAGCAATCCCTCCTTTTCTCACTAGAGAACTTTCTTAATAACGAAGAAGTTATAATATATTACTTTACATGATTAAAGCATTCATATATTTTTCAGATACGACCAGTGGCCACGTCACCAATGAATAGTAATAGACCACAGTTTTCAAGTGTTAATTATAAAACAGGTAATTAAATCATACTAGCATGTCATTTTGAATGTCGTAGTACTGCGTTTTACAAGAAAATAATTGCAGAAAATGTATGTTTATTGTAATATTTTATATTGATTTATTTCGTTTTATAGGAATACAAACACTCGCGAACGGTCCTGTACGTGTAATAACCACGCCAGTTTTATCAAATATACAAATAAGTAAGGTGAGAATTAAGAGATTCAATCATTATGCTGGTTAAGTCTAGATTATAATAAATGTAATAAATCTTTAGACTAAAAAAAATCTCTTGGCAAAAAATATTTCCTATATTGCTTTAAATCGTAATTCCTAAACTTTAATTTGGTTAGATCTCAACTGTAAATCCCAACCTACAATAAATATAATAAGTCTTAAAGATTAAATTATTGACTATTCACAATTGTTCTTCTCATATTCGATTGTGAATGATCAATTTCTTAAGGCTTACGTTGTAAATTAGGGTTAAAATTTATGGTTAAGGCAGTACGAGAAACGCTTTTTGCCAAAAATAACTTGGGATCGAAAAGTGAAAGGCCTATCAGATTTATTTATAATATCTATTCATATATCATATTTATCAAATCAGAATATTATTGAACGCAATTTTATTACTGTTTTTATTTCAGCATCCTGCACCACTGCCAGATACTCCAAATTACGCAACGACACCTGGCTGGAAACTTCCACCGCCGGCTCCATCGTTGAAGATCTCAAAGGTCTCGAATGGTAAATGAAATGAATGTCTCTAATTTATATAGGATATTTAAGTACGAGTTTTAAGCTGTAATAACATTTTTAATGTAACATTTTTAATATCGCATTGATATAGGTATAGTGTTATCTTGGAATATGAATCTAACGGATAAATATGCGGATATCGCTAGTTATCAATTATATGCGTATCAGGAAGTCGCTGGTATGAATCCTAGCACGTCTCTTTGGAAGAAAGTGGGGGATGTGCGCGCACTGCCGCTTCCTATGGCATGTACTTTAACGCAGGTAAAGTTTTAATTAATATCAATATTATGACTCGTCACAAAAACCAGAGAAAAGACGGAATATGCCTCCTACATCATTTGTTTGAATTGATGTTATAAAAACAATATTCTTGTTACAGTTTTCTGAAGGTAACAATTATTATTTTGCGGTCAGAGCAGTCGATACACATTCTAGGAAAGGCCAATACAGTATACCTGGTAATATCTCTTTGTAAACGAATAATGCAACTTTTGAGAGCTCCATTCTTTCATCTTTCATTTTTTGTAATTTTCGCGTTCAACGCGAGATTGTGATAAAAGTATAGTCTGGAGTCCATCTTATAATGATAACACAGTATAACAGATCTGATTTAATTTGAATAATGATTTGGTCAATTTTTATCTTGAATTATCAAATATAAATGTAGTAACTTCCATTAATATTATCATCATAAATGCTCTTCCACACATAATTTATTGTACATAAATTTATAATAAATATTTTTTTTGTCATTATTTATAATAGACAAATTTTCACATATCCTTTTGAGGCAAAATATTAATGTTATATTTATACATATAATTATGTGTAATTTTTCTTAAAAAGACATGATAAATTTCTTAAAAAACATGAAATTATTTGAATGTTTTCACCTGTTTTATATTCATAAATATTTCAAAAAAACTACATATGATGCTACGATGCGTAACATTAAAAAATTCTAGTCAAAAGATTTCACATAAACATATATAATGTTGCAAGACTGGTTTTTAAGGAAATGCGTTATTACTCACGCTCCATCAAAAGTTCTAAGACGATGATACGTATTATTTAATTGTTCGTGTCGACTGTCGCTGAACGCTGAGCGAGAGATAGTAATAAATCGATAGAGGAAATAGTACAAAGTGGATTATGTTTTGTATGTCATTCGATATGATGAGTGGATAACGTTATTTATATTGCTATTATATTAAATAAAAAATTTTATTAAAACGGAAAATGTTTTGATAAAGCGCACACATATACATACATTTATATATTATTTATTGCATTTCTATGTAATATTTAAACATTATATACTTTTGGGATTTTCAATGTGTATTTGTTAAAATACTCTATTTAGGTAACAATGAATTTATATACATCAGTTAATAACCAAAATGTTGTCCACTTTGTACGAAAATCATTTTACTCTTTTTGGTCTTCCGTTCAACATTCAATTGCGAGTGATCAAGCGATGTAATGTTTTTATCTAAGAGCTCTGGTTAATGATGCAAGATTTAGAACCTACCATGTTTCTATGCTTTCTTTTTAAATGAATAGACACTAACTAAATTTTATTATTATTTAAAACATATTTTATAATTTTTTTACGATGGTGTTTTTCAGATTGACTATTCGTTGCAAATGAATGTCACTCTGAATAATATAATTTGCTCAATTTTTATACAGTTAAATTCGAACGTGATTAATACTAAATAATAATACTAAAGTAAATACTAGAAAAATCTTTTCTAATGAGCGAAGAATACGTTATGTAAATCGCTCCTGTGTAAATATCAATGTTTATACGTATTATATGTATACCGCTAATTTTAGTGTAAGCTATGAGCGTATTTGCAATAGCGATTAAATTTAAATTAACAAAATACATGTACCCGTGTGATAGGATAAGTAGTTAAATTAATCATCTCTTTTGTATTTGTATAGTATAAAGAATAAATCTTTCAATTAACTTCATTTCTTTTATTAATTTTCGGCTTTACTTTTTCATATTAATCAGTTATAATCAACTTTTCAGTCAATTCGAACATATTTATATTAAACGCATTCTAATTATATTAAGAAATGTGGTGATTCATCTAATTCATACCCCCCATCAGTGAAGATGGGATGGTGACAAAATAAGTAGAATTTACATTTTTATACAATAGCTGCACTAATTGAGTTCTAACTAGGCGTAATCAATAGCTGATAATTAAATTATGCAGGAAAAGTGTTTTTAGTTTTTCTCTCTGTACTCTATAAGGATCAAAACTCAAATATGTTAATTTTAAAAAACGTGTAAGTCATTAGAATGTGTGTAACTTTTCTACTTTTGATACCAGGGAGCAGCATTTTCTCTAAGACAGCGTTCGCAGCTGTGCGAATAGCGTTCCCTTTTTGACAGATCTTTGACAAATATCATTTAAAAAGTAAAAGTTAATATCGAAAGAAGAGTTATTGTGTAGTGGATCACAGTAAGTATAGTGTATCATAATTTCACTTTTGCTAAAAACATTTTAATATAATTAAAAAAGAATAATATGAGCATTGAAAGATTATAGGTTCTAATTTTTTGTTAGAAAGAATATATTAAAATAATAGAGTATATGTATCTCTCATTATATTATATCATTATATTAAAATGTGTTTACAGAATAAATTCTTTAGAAATAGCAAAGATTTTCGCAAAATTCATTTATGAATTCATTTATCATCCCGGATAATATGTCTAAAAGACATCTAAAAATATTTCACATAACATTTATCGAGAAGCAATAAATTTATCAATTGATGTGACATGACTAATCTCGATATAATAATCGAATTATAATAAAAAATATTAACAATTAATCTAGTACATATCAATATTTTATATTATAATATTACGACGTAATTAAAGTGAAGCTGTCCGAAGAGTAACAAAAGGAAGAATACGAGGCAGAAAATGGAGTACATGATAAATTTGTATATCAATAATTTAATATTATTGCACAAAACTTTCTTAGCGACAAAATTGATCTCTATTGTAACATTGTAATATTACGACCGTTACAATAACTATAATTATAACTTTTTTTCCATTAAAAAACCGTTTATTTTAATTTTTGAAGAAACATTTTTTAACGTTTGGGAAAATAGTTATTTAATATTTATTTAATATTTAATGTTTATTTACTTGCAGATAAATTATTAAAATAAACGTTAAATAAATGTTAAATTAATATTTTTTCTAAATTATTTCAAATAATTAATGTAAAATTAGTAAACGTTAAATAAATATTTTTACAATGAGTAAATACAATGTAAAATTAAATAAAAATTAATATTAAATATAAGAGAACATTTGAAAATACTGCTATGTGGATATTCGAGTTTCGAGATTCGCGAAGAATAGAGTGCAGAAAGTGCAGCTATAAATAACAAGATGAACAGCACGCGAATTCGACTGGACGTCATACGTCATTCGTCATTCGTCATTCGTCGCAAAATATCGTGCTTTCGCGAATTTATTCGCGGGGGCCGCGTTCTCTTGTCGCATTATGCCTCTTTCCAGCGATCCATCGTGCATACGGCATGCGTTAAATGAGTCACCCTCGGAATGTAACGTCGCGACATCCACGTCAAAACAGAAGCAGCGATCTCGCTTGCGCTAATTGTGGAGGAAAGCGATCGCCGCGGCACGCGGCATCCATCGCGTCGATCTCGCGCGAAAAAAAGAAACGAACGAGGAAGCGGGGGCGGAAGTACTATCGCGACTCGGATAATTTATGAACACGAAGCGCCGCACCGCGCCGCGCCGCGCCGTGGCCGTGCGCGCTCGCATATTTGCACGCGCGCTTGGTTGTGTGCGTGTGTATGTACGTGTTGTGTATACGATGGTGTACACACTGCGATAGTTATGCGCGACGGCGAAGGTGAAAATGTTGGCGAAGACTGCGGCGCGCTGACACAGGCGACACGACGGAGTGGGACGTGCGTTTCATGCGCACCGTGAGCACACAGTGAAAGCGACGACGACGATAACAACAATAACGACAGCGGTAACATCGACGACGAAGACGAGAACGAAGACGGCGGCGACGATCGGGACAACTGGGACGATCGTGTAGCGATCACTGGTGGCGGTGATCGTTGGCGGAGAAGAGAAGCGCTCTGCATCGCAAGCGACGACGCGGCAACGCGACCGTCATCGTTGAGGTACCGCGTTTCGCGTGCGCGTTCAGTACGTCAAACAGTGCGGCGCAACTCCGGTTTGCTTGTGTCCTTCACGTCGACGGAGTTGCCTCGCACGCAAAGACATAGTCATTCGCTCGTGCGCGTTCTCTCTCTCTCTCTGCTCTCCCTTCTCTCTCTCTCTCTCTCTCTCTTGCTCTCGGGGCGCTGAAGACGATCAGCTGTTGTGGGTGTTCCGCACCGTCGTGGTGTCTAGTGATCGAATATGCTCGTTCCGCGAGCTCTCGATCAAGATTCCAAATACTAAACGTAACATCAAACAGTACAGGTGCGGAAAAGTCGGTGTATGGAGATGAAGAGGTGCCACGGTGCCACTATTTCGGAAGTTTGACGCGCAAGCACGTTGAAAAACGTACGGGAGGTGTGACGCTCGAACGAGACTGGGGATTATGACGAGCAGCGTAGAGGTCCATCGACGTCCGCGCAGCTACACCGGGGTAAACCGTACGAGTTCACCATGTACATATGATTATTCGGGTTCATGCGTTCTCTTACTGTCAGTGGCGAGCAAACGACGACGACGGGCGCGGATGGAAGCAATCCGCCGGCGGGGGATCGGCGAACGCAGGCCTCCTCGTCGTCCGTAACTGGCAGCGACGTCCAGGGGATGCCTAGCCTACACTCGCTCGTCTTACGACGGGCACCTCTTACGGATATGGGTGCCGCGACCAGTTCAGTGACATCCGTAAATCCCCCTGGTAAAATCCCCGCCAGCCAGAAGAAGATCGACAAAACCAAGCTCAGTGGCATTAGGCTACCTCTGCTACGCAAAGAGGCCAGCGTGGTGAATCTCTCCTTGACGGAGAGAAGTGTACCAGGTAGAGAGGCAGACGCGCCTCTCTTGCGTCCTGAGAGCAGCGCGAGTCTCGAGGCACGAGGTGGCAGTTGGATGAACCTGGGGCCTGGCGCGCTCAGGAAATGCGAGACCGCCGTGGGACTAAGCACCTCGGCTCTCGAAGGAAGACCTATTAATCGCAGCAGAGTATGCTCTCGCTGTTCCAGCCTGTTGTCCCTGGCATCCAGTTCGCGTTACAGCCTGGCTGCTGGTAACTTCGTTCCCGCGGGCTCGCAGCAGACAATCGGACGGTTATTTTGTAAATTGTGTCTCGTTGATACCTCACTCTCCAAGACGTTTAAGATCGAGGGATGTGGTTGTTCCTACTGTAAAGATGTAAGTCATAGTTCTTCGTAGCATGCCATTGCTACATTTAGAATGGATATGCCTTTATGCATTACAGATATATTTATGGTTCTATCTTTAATGATTTTTAGTGCATGCGTGCCTATGTAGAATTTGAAATTGAGGAAGGCGCGTATGAAATTAGTTGTCCCGATGCTCAGTGTGATCACGGCGCCATATTATCTTTAAAAGAGATATCAAGCCTTGTCAACGCAGAACTCGTGGAGAAACATTGCAAGTTTCGTTTGAATAGAGGTGAGTAACGTGAATTTTGTATTTATTTAACTAGATATGTGAAAATACAATTCTCCATACGAAAAAGAATGATCCATGGGACTGGAATCATAATTAAATTTTGATACAGTTAATACAATTTGTGTGCAGATGTGTCGATGGACAAAGGACGTGCATGGTGTCCACGAGCGGGTTGTGAAACAATATGTTCGATAAACGGCAACAGTGGAAGCGGCACTCCTTTAGGTCCTGTTCATTGTCCCAATTGCTCCACAGATTTCTGTTCGATATGTCGCGAGCCTTGGCACAATGGGCCCTGTTCAGATCTTCCATTAGGGATACCATTTGGTAGTGATCACATTAAATGTTGTCCTATGTGTTCCGTGCCGATAGAAAAAGACGAAGGTTGTGCTCAAATGATGTGCAAAAGATGTAAACATGTGTTTTGCTGGTACTGCTTAGCATCCTTAGATGTGAGTATTCATGATGGTAAAGAAAGTACGCGATCAACATTCCAAACACATGTAACACATTTTATTGTTTTACATACGAGACTAACATGTTGACATAAGATACAAATTGATTTTTAAATTGTTGGTGTATAGGATGATTTTCTGTTGCGACATTACGACAAGGGACCATGTAAGAATAAGTTGGGCCACTCACGTGCGTCCGTGATATGGCATCGAACGCAAGTTATCGGAATCTTCGCTGGTTTTGGCCTACTTCTACTTGTCGCATCGCCCTTGCTATTATTAGCAGCACCTTGCATCGTATGCTGTAAATGTCGCGTTTGCGGCTCTTCCAGACTCGAACAAGAAGAAGGCGACACGACGACATAGGACCTTCCAAACGCGCGTTTTTAACAGATTCTCGTTTAATTATATTTCTTCGAGCTAAAGTATAAGCACTTTTACTAGGCTTCCACGTATGGGAGACAATATAATTGGCAACTTATATAGATATACATTGCATTTTGTTAAGTTTACGTTTTATTTTATTTTTGCGTGTTAAAAGATACGTAGTATAAAAGGGCAGAATGCATATCTCAGTCAAGAGAGGAGAGATACAGAGCATATTGTGATTAACTATATATTTATATATTTTACTTAGAAGTTATTTGGACGGAATAAGAGAGATGTTGTAATTTGTATAGTCATAATGTTTGTTTTCCTGATGTACACTTATTTTAGTCACTTAATAAGTTTTATATGATTAATTTTGTAAATGATCTTTATGATGACTCGTAATTAATTATGTGATTCAAACAAGTCTAATATTTTATAAATACTCATAATAAATTCTTATGTAGGAACACATTCCAGGATTTTATCTATAGATATATATCGGATTTATGTTATATCATCGTGAAATATGTGCAACCGAACGTCGTGAAAATATTTGTGCTTTATATTAAAATTATATCTTGTTGATTTCTATTTACCAAAATACGAGCTTATTTTTTGTTGCCCTCATAAAATGGCGATAATAATACGTTGATTATTTGATTTTTTTATTCTTAAATTATGTAATATAACTAAATTATATTTAAACTATAATATATATTAAAATATATAAGAGTGTGTGTATATCTATATGTGTGCCCGCATCGAATTATCTTGCAAGACTCAGATCTACATTTTTATAGAGAGAAACGAATCTTGATCATGTAAAGTATTAGCATGCACAATATTTCTATTCTTGTTGTCTTAATTTATGGGTGCTTTCGTGTTTGGTAATTTTATCTCGCATGTATATTACATGTACATTAATTTAGAATGAGTAAAAATATAGTAAGTAAAAAAAAGATAACTATTATAATACAGAAAGATCTATCTCACATGATCATACATTTTATCATTGAAATCAAGAGAGTATTGTTGTTAATATGTATTTAACACGTTTGTTATCGATCGATGTGTGAGCTGTGCAGTTAATGTTTGACATTAAGAATCTATAAATCAATATGTGCCATGTGATTGCGAGACTCTGCAGTTATTTCCAGGAGCTCGAAATCCGCGATGAGGTAAATTTGCACCGAAACGTGTTAATTACATTCATAATAATCACTTATTATGCATCATAAACGAAATTTAGATTATTGAAGGTCACAGATATGAATAGAGTCAATCTTTTGGACAATAGTATGTGTTATGGATGACATAAAAAACGATTCTCTCCACAAATAATAAATGAATATCAAGAAAACGAAAACAATTATATATATATATATATATATATATATATATATATATATATATATATATATATATATATATATATATATATATATATATACTAATTTAATTTGTTTTACGTTCTTAGTACATATAGATATAATATATACACACACACACACACACACACACACACACACACACACACACACACACACACACACACACACACACACACACATGTGATTATGTAATAAATATATGTGGTAATTTTTGTATATATAGTAAGATGGATGACTTAAGTGACGAAGGATGGGAAGATTACGTTTTCGACAAAATGCATTTCTCGCAAATGGTACAGAGAGTTCAGCGAACGATTGCGTTACATGATACATATAAGTACTGTGTAGCCGACTTTCATTATTTTACGTCAGAACTGTTGAAATATCTCGTTTGTTGTATTATTAATAACGCATGTAAATAATAAAAGAGGAAGACGCATACATGCGTGCGTGCATGCGCACGATGCGTGTATGTGTGCGTATGTGTGTGCGTGTGTGCTATGCATTTGAGTGCACTCGTGTGTCGAAAAATAAAGATACAATGAACTAGGAATAACAGTAACCACTATATTCTGCGTTTATCTCTTCGAACATTCTTTTTCCGTCGAATATTTTATTATCCTTGGAAATATATACATCGATATTACGTTGTTATCACACAACTGCAATCGTAGAAACTTCTAAAAAAAATCCGTTTTTGGATTCTCGCAGGTGCGGGCACGAAAAGGGGAAAAAAATCAAGAGAATTCGTTAAATATTAATGAAATGTATATATGTACAGCATCTCGTACAAAATAGAAAGAGAAATTCTCCAAGGTCGGCCAATCGATATCGATGACGTCAAAACTAAGAAATGCGGCATAAATTATTATCGCGACTTGCGTCTAGCAAGATTTTAACTGATATAAAGGACAATAGCTTTATTTGTTTAGCGACGACATAGCGGCGAATATTCCTCTAGTTCTTGCACGCGACTTTAGCGCGTCACCTCTTTTTCAGCGAGTTTTGCTCACGTTATATATTTTTTCTTTTTCTTTTTTTATTGGTAATAATGGCATACTACCGTAATGTCATGAACGCGTTAAAACTGTTCCGTTAATTTAACAGGCTTGTCGGACCAGTGGGAGTCAAGGAGGAAGAGTAGCTGCCGAACTCGTGTCGTTTCTACTTTTTCCCACTACGATATTTGTACAGGGCCGTCGAGAACAGTCCACATGCCATGAGAAGATTCTCTCGAGTGCGGCAACAAGAAGGGAGAGAAATCAGAAAAATTTTTGCTCGAGATTGTATCAAGTAAAGCGATACATAAATCTAGGTATTGTATTTGTTGACTTTTCTTCCGTTTTCTCAGACCTCACGGTCTTCCTGAATTCAAAATTAGGGGAGTATATTATGTATTCGAAATTTGAAAAAAAGATGAAAAGTATGAGAAAACAGAGGAGAGATTTTGAAACGATATAGGTAACGAGAAAGAAATTAAATTAAACGTCAGTTAAAGGAGGAAAACTGCGATTTTTGAACGAGAAAAAGAATTCTGATGACACTCCCCTCTCTCTTAGAGCTACCATATACATATAATTAAGTCTACTTTATCAGATAGTGTGATACAAATATAATCACTGCACCCAAGAAACTTCATGCGTGTTTTTGAATACTAAATATATCTTTAAAAACTATTTGTTAGATTTTTCATAAAAATATTTATCATTCTTTTAAATAGACATTGTATTTTATTCAAAATATTGATCTGTAAGAAAATTACTTGCGAGTCAAAAAGAAATAAAAAAAGTTCAACAGAAAGTATTACATGCAATCTTTGTTTATTATATTAGATGATTTTTTTGTACACGCGATTCAATATAAATTCTTTATATTTAGAATTTGTCTATTTAAATTTTTATAAAAAGATTCCGTGAGAATTTTCATTTATTAGGTTCTTTTTTGTTCAAAATTTCAGATAAAATTTTAGAATTTTAAAATTCTATAATTCAACTTTAAAATTTATAATTTATATATAATTATATAATTGTACGCGATTTTTAATATTTTTTAATTGTGAAAAAAAATTGCTCGGGATATGAACATTTCGGTTTGATTATTTGGATAAAAACGCGCATATATTTTCTTTTTCTTTATGTATATGTAAAGTTACTCATAAATGTATGTGCATATTATGCATTTACTAATGTAACAATTAGCGAATTTATGTTAATAGCTTGCTTTATAAAAACAAAAAGCAATAATCTTTTTATCTTATCAATAATCTTTTAATTTTATTCATTTTTTTTAAGATCAAAATTTCAGAAAATTTGATTTCTTAAATTTTTAGAAAAAGAAATTTCTTGAAAATTTCAAATTTTTCAATAAGTAGATACTTTATTATTTATTAAACAAGGATGAGATTGAAACTCAAAAATATCAGATGTTTTCACACTTTAGATAAACATATTGTCAATTATAGAAAATAATATTCTCGAATTCTATTCGGATGTGGAGATCATTGGATTGTAGATAACGAAGCAATAATTTTCTCGTTTTAGAGAACCCATTTATTATTTACTACATATTTCGCCGTATGAAAGTATAATTATGTAATAAAGGGTAAAAATTAATCGGAATGAAGATTCGCATCCGAGAGAGGTGTGGTAGATAACTAGTGAAATGTGCACGAGCAATCAGGTTTCACTCAGTAGAGCTTCACATGCCTGCTCGACAATTTGCACAAGTTATCTAATACACCACACTTACTGATGTTGATGGACCCCGCTCTTCAGATTAGAATGTACAATTTATTCTAAAAGAACAAGTCTGTAGATTTTTTCAAAAAAACTACGG